GAGAGGGAGGGAGGATGGGCGGGAAGGAGGGAGGTAGGTTAGCCACCACCAGATGTGGCCTCATGATCCCAGACCTCCAGAACCATAATCCAAAATAAACATCTTTTGTTCACAAAGTTACTCAGTCTAGGGTTTTCATTAAGGAATGCAAAGAATACTAATACAGCACACTAAGGCAAAGAGGCCCAGGAGAGCCCAGAGAGCAGCAGAGTCAGCCTGGCTGGGCTGGCAGGAGGCAAGGCGAGGGCCCCCAGCCTGCTGTGCTCACTAAGACCGTGGATCTCACTCTGAAAACGACAGGAAACGACCAAGGGCCATCGAGCAGGGCACTGTGGAAATGCCACCTCAAGCTCAGATGGGTCCGCAGCCAATGCAGCAGTGAAGAGTCAGCCAGCAGAAAACACAACAGAAGGTTCTGGAAGCAAAGGTGAGTCCAAAGAAGACTTGAAACAGGCCCTGTAGGTGTGTCAACTGCAGGGGGACTGTGACTGTGGCCATGACGTTTTAGGAGGCACAGATAGAGGGACAAGTAAGAGTGGATGTGTATGCTGATAGTAGACCAACAGCTGCCAGAATTTCAGGAGTCTTGGGGCTGGTGCTGTGGTGCAATGGGTTAAAGCCCTGGCCTGAAGCGTTGGCATCCCATATGGGTGCCAGTTCTAGTCCCGGCTGCTCCTCTTCTGATTCATCTCTCTGCTATAGCCATGGAAAGCATTAGAGGATGGCCCAAGTCCTTGGGCCCCTGCACACATGTGGGAGACCCAGAAGAAACTCCTGGTTCCTGGCTTCGGATCAGCGTGGCTCCAGCTGTTGCGGCCATCTGGGGAATGAACCAGCAGGTGGAGGGCCTCTCTCTCTGTCTCTACCTCTCTCTGTAACTCTTTCAAGTAAATAAAATAAATCTTTAAAAAAAAGAATTTCAGGAATCTTAATACCAATGACATTCTAAAAAGTAAAAATAAGACAGGGGCCAGCTATGTGGCGCAACAGGTTAAGCCGCCACCTGCAACACCATCATCCCATATGAGCTCCACTTCCAATCCAGCTCCCTGTTAACACACCTGGGAAAGCAGCAAGAGATGGTTCCAGTGCTTGGGGGCCCCTACCACCTATGTAGGAGACCCAGATAAAGCTCCTGGCTCCCAGCTTTGGCCTGGCCCAGCCCTAGCCTTTGAGGCTCTTTGCAGAGTAAATCTCTGGATTTATGTGTGTGTGTGTTTAACTCTGCCTTTCAAATAAATAAATAAATCTTTAAGACGATCATCTGTTATTATTACCATTTCATTAAAAATTGGTGGGCACTGTGGCATAGTGGATAAAGTCACCACTGCCTGTAGTGCTAGCATCTCATATTGGCACTGGTTTGAGTCCCGACTGCTCCACCTCCTATATGGCTCTCTGCTACGGCCTGGGAAAGCAGTAGAAGATGGCCCAAGTCCTTGGGCCCCCGCACTCATGCAGGAGACCTAGAAGAAGCTCCTGGCTCCTGGCTTCGGATCAGTCCAGCCCCGGCTGTTGCGGCCATTTTGGGAGTGAACCAGTTGATAGAGGACCTCTCTGTCTCTGCTTCTCTGTAACTCTGCCTTTCAAATAATAAATAAATAAATCTTAAAAAAAAAAAAAAGGGTGGGGAATTTTTATCCCCTCCCCAGTAGGCAGTAGGACAGTCCTAACATCTCAAAAAGGATGGTCATTTAAATGAAATCAGTTTGGTTTTATGAAAAATTCCTATTTTGGCCGGTGCCGCGGCTCACTAGGCTAATCCTCCACCTGTGGTGCCAGCACCCAGGTTCTAGTCCTGGTTGGGGCGCCAGTTCTGTCCCGGTTGCTCCTCTTCCAGTCCAGCTCTCTGTTGCGGCCCGAGAGGGCAGTGGAGGATGGCCCAAGTGCTTGGGCCCTGCACCCGCATGGGAGACCAGGAAGAAGCACCTGGCTCCTGGCTTTGGAGCGGCGCAGTGCCAGCCGTAGTGGCCATTTGGGGAGTGAACCAATGGAAGGAAGACCTTTCTCTCTGTCTCTCTCTCTCACTGTCTAACTCTGCCTGTCGAAATGAAATGAAACGAAATGAAAAGAAAAATTCCTATTTCATCCTTACTTTTCTCCTGTCACCACGGAGTATAAAGTCACAGCCTGACAATGCTTGCTTCCTGAGTGGAAATGGCTGGGCAAACCACTTTTAGAGAAGAGAGATTGGAGAAGAATAGAGCCAAGGATTTGAGGCTTTCCTAAAAACTTTTAATTGATTGATTTGAGAGAGACTGTGCTCCCACCTGCTTATTCACTGCCCCCAAATGCCAGCAACGGCCATGGGCTGAAGCCAAGGCTGGGAACTCGATCCAGGTCATACGTCCAGATTTCCCACCTGTGTGGCAGACACGGAGTACCTGAGTCGTTACCTGCTGCCTCCCGGGCTGGGCATTAGTAGGAAACTGGAGCCAGGAGCCAGAGCTCGGGCTTGGATCCAAGCACTCTGATGTGAATTAATCAGTGTCTTAACTGCTAGGCCAAATGCCTACCCCAGAGGTCCCGTGTTTTTGAAAGATAACACTGATTGGAGTAAATTAATGTCCAGAGAAGGGGAAAAAGAAAATAGAGAAAGATTAAAAGGTTGGAAGTAGAAGCAACACAGTAGCCTAGACTGGCTCCCAATACAACAACAGCTTAGTGGAGAAAATGATGAAATCTGAATAGCATCTGCGTTTTAGCTAATTTCACCCGTTCTCCCATCAGTAAGTGCTTAGTTTAGATGAACCACCATGGTTACATCCTACTAGCCTATGTACTATTGTTGGCATAAGATGCCAACAATGGCAAGGCTAGGTGAGAGGCATATGCAAACTCACCACAGCACCTGCATAGCAGTTCCAAAAATCTAAAATGATGTGCACATGAAAAATGTAAAATAGTGGCCAGCGCCGCGGCTCACTAGGCTAATCCTCTGCCTGTGGCGCCGGCACCCCAGGTTCTAGTCCTGGTTGGAGTGCTGAATTCTGTCCCGGTTGCTCCTCTTCCAGTCCAGCTCTCTGCTGTGGCCCGGGAAGGCAGTGGAGGATAGCCCAGGTGCTTGGGTCCCTGCACCCACATGGGAGACCAGGAAGAAGCACCTGGCTCCTGGCTTCGGATTGGCGCAGCTGGCCATAGTGGCCATTTGGGGGGTGAACCAAAGGAAAGAAGACCTTTCTTTCTGTCTCTCTCTCTCTCACTGTCTAACTCTGCCTGTCAAATAAATAAATAAATAAATGAAGTCATTGTATCTTGAAGTTAATTTCTCAAACAAAAAAAATGTAAAATAGTAACAACAGTGGAAGAGAAAGGAGGCAAGGCAGACCTTGAGCCGGGCAACACTGACCTGGAACAGGAGGTGAGCAGTCCCTCTGTAAGGTCAGGGGCAGCGGGTGGACACTCCAAACTTGACCATAAACCTTTCCCTGAGGATTTCACAGGGCAGCCTCCATGTCCTCCCGAAAGTGGTTAAAAGGGAATCAGCCATAAATGAAGGGACACGGCCGATAAAGGGAACACAGGTGAAACGGAGCTTGACCATGGAGAGAGCAGCTCCTGTTAGGCAGCGGCAGCAGCCCTACTGCCCTGTGAGCACGCAGGGGGTTGGGAAAGCTTGGGGGACACTCTGGAGACTGCACTGACACAACGGCGGGACGGGGGTGGGACGGGGTCAGGGTGCAGAGCAGGGAAGATGCTGCCTGGTGGGGGGAATGAGGGCCCCAAGACCGCGGGGGCCCAGCCTTCATTCCACCTGCTGCGAGGAGCAAACCCAGGCCCTGGCCAGGGCTTTTCATAAGCCCTCATGAGCACACTTCATTTACTTAAGAGCCTCCTTCCATTTGAAGTATGAATAATCAGTTCCTAAGCAGCAGCAAGAAGAAAATCCAGCTTTGGTCACAGTAGAAGAAATACACAGTGCCTACTCATAGTACTTATCTCTAGCCTGCTTATTCTTAGGAGGAAGAAAATCAAGAAATCCTTCAATATATATACACAGATATTCAAAGGAATACATTAAGTAATACAGATTATTACTAGAAGTGAATTTAAAAAATTAAAAATATTTTCATGTACTATTGTGACAAGCATTGAATGAATTCTTAGACACTGGATTAGGATTCACATCCTCTTGAAGCGTGCTGTGTATTCTGCTTTGAATGGACGCTGGCCATTACAGTACCTTACAGCTAAATGTCCAGCTGGTCAGGATTTTTCGGTTGTAAGCAACAGATGCCAATTCCCATTACCTGAGGTCAAAAAGACTGACGGGGAAGCTGCTATGCGTGTTGACTGAGGGAGCTCCCAAATTAGAGGAACACGTGGAGCAAGACACCTAGGAGCCAAAGAGTGCAACTAACAAAGGTCCCATCAGGGCCCTGGCTGTGTTTTCTCTCCTTTGCACATTCTATAGGGGAGGCAAAGTAGTGAGAGGGCCCATGTGGTCAGTGTGGGGTGTCGAGGTGAATAGGGCATTGCGATGGATGGACAGTCCATCCAAACCACCCACACCAGGAGATGGCTAATTCTGCAAGGGCTCTTACTGGAAGAAACGGAAGTGGATGTGGAGTAGTGACTTCTCACCTATTCTTTTATGCCACCAAGCCCTTGCCTGAGCTGCTTCTCGACCTGCAGGTGGAGAATGGGTGAGGCCCTCGTCCTGCCCCTAGAACAGGAGAGGCCCTCGTCCTCCAGGCCACCTGCCAACCTCCTATTTTCCCCTCAAAACCCAGATGGAGTAACCCATTTGTGTGCAGTGAGGCACAGGAAAGCACTTTTCACTGTTCCACACCCCTAATCTCGTGACACTGCTGTTATTTGTACCTGCGTGGATCTCTCCTTTCAGACCCACAGGAATAAAGTCTGTCTTCCCTGCAGCTTGTGTGCCATGGCAAAGTTAGGACTCAACAGTGAGGGTTGAAATAAATGCAAATAGAAAACCATGGCTTTGCTCTATAAAACGTGTACTTTGAGAGAGCACATGGAAAATTCTCTATTACCTTGGCAAACCTGCGGGACGTCTGAGAAAGACGGACGAGATCTTCCAGGTCCAGGTAAGAGATGATGCGCAGGAGCAAAGTGTCTGAGAGCCGCTCCAGGAAGTCAAATTTGCCTTTGCACAAGTTGAAGACATAGTCTAATATTCCAGCACCAAATATTAAGGCAATCTGAACTGAAATTCAAAGAAACCAACAAAGCAACATGGTTATTCAGTCCTATTTTTACACAATAGAACAAAAAAAAAAACTGGAAAGAGGCAAAGAGAAAAGTCAGTAAAATTTCAGGAAAATTATTTAATTTTGCCTACTAACTTTGCCTAATAACTGATTTTCCATTATTTCTGAGTTAGGAAGTAGTTCAGAAAGAAATCAACCCTTATGAAGGTTTACCTGAATGAATTAAAATTACAGAAGAAATAAACAAAATTAAAACCAAAAACAATACAAAAGATCAGTGAATAGAAAGCTGTTTTTTTTTTTTTTTAAATAAACAAAGTTGATACACCACTGGCCCAACTAACAACAACAAAAAAATAGAGGTCAATTTTATTGACCCAAGTCAATAAAATCAGAGATGATAAAGGAAATACAACAGATACTGCAGAAATAAAAAGAATCATCAGGGGCCGGTGCCGTGGCTCACTAGGCTAATCTTCCGCCTTGTGACGCCGGCACACCGGGTTCTAGTCCCAGTCGGGGCGCCGGATTCTGTCCCGGTTGCCCCTCTTCCAGGCCAGCTCTCTGCTGTGGCCAGGGAGTGCAGTGGAGGATGGCCCAAGTGCTTGGGCCCTGCACCCCATGGGAGACCAGGAGAAGCACCTGGCTCCTGGCTTCGGATCAGTGCGATGCGCTGGCCGCAGCGCGCCGGCCACGGCGGCCATTGGAGGGTGAACCAATGGCACAGGAAGACCTTTCTCTCTGTCTCTCTCTCTCTCACTGCACTCTGCCTGTCAAAAAAAAAAAAAAAAAAAGAAGAAGAAATAGATAGATACCTGGACACACAACTTACCTCAATTGAGCCATGAAGACATAGAAAACCTAAACAGACCCATAACCAAGATGGAAACTGAATCAGTAATAAAGGCCCGCCCAACAAAGAAAAGCCCAGGACCAGACAGCTTCAATGCAGCGTTCCACCAGACATTTACAGATTCCAATTCTTCTCACGCTATTCAAAACAATTGCAACAGAGGGAATCCTCCCAAACTTCTTCTATGAAGCCAGCATCACCTTAATTCCTAAGCCAGAAAAAGATACAACAGAGAACTACAGAACAATTTCCCTGATGAACATAGATGCAAAAATCCTCCATAAAATATTTACTAATCGAATCCAACAACATATCAGAAAGATCATTCACCCAGACCAAGCGGATTTATCTGTGGTATGTAGGGATGGTTCAACATTTGCAAATCAATAAATCTGATACGTCACATTAACAAATTGAAGAACAAAAACCATATGGTTATCTCAACAGATGCCGAGAAAGCATTTGATAAAATACAACACCCTTTCATGATGAAAGCTTAAGCAAATTTGGTATAGAAGGAACATCCCCCCAAACAATCAACACAATTTATAACAAACCCATGGCTACCATCCTATTGAATGAGGAAAAGCTAGGGCACTGCCCCGGAGATCCGGAACCAGTCAAGGATGCCCATTCCCACTACTGCTATTCAATATATTCCTGGAACTTTTAGCCAAAGCCATTAGGCAAGAAAAAGAAATCAAAGGGATACAAACTGGGAAGGAGAAAGTCAAACTACTCCTATTTGCAGATGACATGATTCTACTAATATAAGGGATCTAAAAGACTCCACTAAGAGACTATTAGAACTCGTAAGAGTTTGGTAAAGGGGCAGGATATAAAATCAACACACACATACACACACACACACACACACACACACACACATCAACAGCCTTTCCTCTGGAAAGCCCTTTTACTTTAGAAGTGCTTGGAATTCAGAGGTACTTAAGCCCTGACTCTAGAAAGTGGGGATAATCAGTTTTGGAGAGAAGTTTACATGGGCTTTTTATTTTTTATTTATTTATTTATTTATTTATTTTTTATTTTTGACAGGCAGAGTGGACGTGAGAGAGAGAGAGAGAGAGACAGAGAGAAAGGTCTTCCTTTGCCGTTGGTTCACCCTCCAATGGCCGCCACGGCCGGCGTGCTGCGGCCGGCGCACCGCGCTGATCCGATGGCAGGAACCAGGTACTTCTCCTGGTCTCCCATGTGGGTGCAGGGCCCAAGTACTTGGGCCATCCTCCATTGTACTCCCTGGCCACAGCAGAGAGCTGGCCTGGAAGAGGGGCAACAGGGACAGACTCCGGCGCCGGGACTAGAACCCGGTGTGGGGGCGCTGCAAGGCTGAGGATTAGACTAGTGAGCCGCGGCACCGGCTACATGGGCTTTTACTTAAACACAGCCCATTCCTTACATCTGTTCTGAAATCAGAGAGGCCCTTGGATCACAGTTCTGCCTGCCTCTGTGGGGAGCCCAGTGCTCCGGGCAGCTCCACCCACATGCTCCTGAAGGAATGTTCCAGGCTGAGGAGAGAAGATGGGGTCCAAATCTGGGACATTTAGTCTAAGACAGAACACTCTCTCTCTCTTCTAAGAGCCGTCTTCTGTGGTGCTTCCTGAGTTAGAAGCGAGGAAATGGAGAAAAGCCTCCCCACCTTTCTGGTATTGTGATGCCTCCAGCTTTGTTTTTGCTGTATAGTCTTGCTCTAGCTATTTGGGGTCTCCTGTGTTTCCATATGAATTTCAGCATCATTTTTTCCTATATCTGAGAAGAATGTGCTTCGTATTTTTCTTGGTATCACATTGAATCTGTAAATTGCTTTTGGCAGCATGGACATTTTGATGATATTGATTTTTCCAATCCATGAACATGGGAGATTTTTCCATTATTTTGTGTCTTCTTCTATTTCTTTCTTTAATGTTTTGTAATTCTCATAGTAGATATCTTTGACATCCTTAGTTAAATTTATTCAAAGGTATCTGATATTTTTGGTAGCTATTGTGAATGGGATTGATCTTAGAAGTTCTCTCTTGGCCATGGTGTTGTCTATGTGTACAAAAGCTACTGATTTTTTTTTCTATGTTGATTTTATATCCTCGCACTTTACCAAACTCTTTTATGAGTTCCAATAGTCTCTCAGTGGAGTCTTTTGGATCCCCTATATATAGAGTCATGTCATCTGCAAACAGGGATAGTTTGATTTCCTCCTTCCCAATTTGTATCCCTTTGATTTCTTTTTTATTTCTTTTTCTTGCCTAATGGCTCTTGTTAAAACTTCCAGGAGTATACTGAATAGCAATGGTGAGAGTAGGCATCCTCATCCGGTTCTGGATCTCAGTGGGAATGCTTCCAACTTTTCCCCAGTCATATGGCCAGTGGTGTGTCATAAATTGCCTTGATTGTGTTGCGGAATGTTACTTCTATACCAAATTTGCTTAAAGTTTCCATCATGAAAGGGTGAAACAATTTCAAAGTCTCTGTATATATTGAGATAATCATATGGCTATCATCTTTCAATTTATTAATGTGATGCATCACATTGATTGATTTGCAAATGTTGAACCATCTCTGCATACCAGGGATAAATCCCACTTGGTCCAGGTGAATGATCTTTCTGATGTGTTGTTGGATTTGATTGGCTAGTATTTTGTTGAAGAGTTTTGCATCCATGTTCATCATTACTTGGTGTCTTAATCCCTAAGCTAAACACCTGCCCCTTCCATAAACTAGCAGAAGTACTCTCCTGGGTCTGGTGCTGTGGCACAGGGGATGATGCCATCAACTGCAGTGCCAGATCTAATATGGGCACCAGATCAGATCCTGGCTGCTCCACTTCTGATCCAGCTTCCTGCTAATGTGCCTGGGAAATCAGTGCAAGATGGCCCAAGTCCTTGGGCCCCTGAACCCATGTGGGAGACCCAGATGAAGCTCCTGGCTCCTGGCTTTGAGCTGGCCCAGCCCCAACCATTGCAGCTTTTTGGAGAGTGAACCAGCATGGAAGATCTCTCCCTCTCTCTGTAACTCTGCTTTTCAAATAAATAAATAAAGCCTTAAAAAAAGGTATTGTCTTGTGGGTAGGGGTTGGGGTAGGGACATAAAATGAGTTTCCTTAATTCACAGGCCTCCCATCTAGAGGAAGTATCCTGGAGGGAGCGGATGGAAGACATCACAGCTGCAGCACCCCAGACACACGTGGGCCTTCCTGGGATGGTGAGTGTCTACACCAAAGATACAGGGTGTCTTCAGAAAGTTCATGGAAATACTTATGATGAAAAAACTATGCATGGGTCCTGAAATTGCTTTGTGCCAAAATGAAGTTCCCTTTTAATTCTATTTCCCCACCAACTTTTTGCAGTACCGTTACATTTCCAGAAGAAAGAAACCACAGGAATAGAATTTCAGAAGCAATGACAGAGGCAGAATGAATGGCAGTAACACCAGCAAATTGAAGCCCCTGCTACTGTACAAAACATGTTTAGTTTTTCATTTACTTATAAATTTATTCATTCATTTATTTGAAAGCAGAGAAACAGAGACAGAGAACGAAATATGTGCCATCTGCTAGTCCACACTCCAAATGCCCACAACAGCTGAGGCTGAGTCCAGAACTCAATCTGGGTGGCAGAGACCCACGTACTCGAGCCCTCACCTGCTGGCCCCTAGCCTGGGCATCAGCAGAGAGTTGGATATGGGAAGTGGAATGGGGCCTTCATCCCTGCGTTCTGTTATGAGGTGCAGGTGTCCTGAGCAGCCTCTTAACTGCTGCACCAAACAGCTGCTCCTAACACATATTTAAAATAACAAACTTTGGAAGAGGTGTGCAAACAAGGCAAATCAAAACACCAAATAACAAACACCATAAGGTAGAAAGCACGTGTTTCGAATGCAAATATTCTAAGGTCTTTGATGTTTAAGGAGAAAATGGGAAATACTGATAAATGTCAGATGTTTATAAGTTAAACTAGGCTTGTTAAAATTTTAAAGGCTATCACCAAGAAGAAGGCAGGAAGGGAGGGGGAGGAGGAAACAAGGAAGGAAGGAAGGAAGGAAGGAAGGAAGGTAGGGGAGAGAGATCAAAATAAAGACAAAGAAAATACAATGATGGGCTGGCATTGTGTCATTATGGGTTAAACTGCTGCC